AGATCAAGGTGGGCAGGAAATGTCATCGATTCAGAATCCCCTTTTTAAAGGCTTAACGCAAGGGGATGAGCAGCATGTGGAAGACTGGACCCAGGCACTTCACCTGTTTTCCATCTACCTTCGACCTTACACTTAATGGTGTTTATGTGTCTTATATTTCCTTCCTCTCATCTCTCCAAAGGCCGGGACTATCATTGATCTGTCTCCTTATTCCCATGACATCTACCTGTGGCCATGGCTGCTCATTACCTATGCTTGTTAGGAGGAAGAGTATATATTCTGGGATTAAAAATGAAGTTCCCCCGGCCTTCTCGGGGTGGGTAGGGTTCCCCTGTATGTCCCTTTACTGGTCTGGCCGCAGAGCGCCCGCTCCTGCCTGACCCCGGCTGCCACTAGCCTTGGCTTCTCTGGCTCTAGACGTGTGCTGGGGGCCAGACTCTGCTGACTGCAGTGGCCTTCCATAAACTCGGTTCCTCCCTTGCCCAAATGCATGTAAGTTCACCTTCTCTTGTGGTTCACCTGATGTAGCTCATGTCCTTGCCCTTCTCCTCGTCAGCCTTGTCCTGCCATCTCCCATGGCCCAGCATGCATGGACACTAATTGTGCAAGATAACTTCAGCCTCAACACTACTGATATTTTGGGGCTGGAGCATCTTCGTGGTGGGGGCAGCCCTGTGTGTTGTAGGATGTTTAGCGGCACCCTTGGGCTTCTACCCCCAGTTATGGCAATAAAAAATATCTCCAGACATTTCCAGATGTCCTGGGGGTGGGGAGTGTGGGCACAAAATCACCTCTATAACCAAGAGGTGTCTTAGAGATCAGTTAGGTTAATTCCCCTCCTCTCATTTCACAAATTAAATCACTGAGGCCCAGAGTAGGAAAATGTGTTTCCTAAGGTCACACAACAAATTGGCAGTGATGTAGGCAATAGACTTTTCAATCTTTTCGATCTCAGTCTGGTGTTTTTCTTGACCATGGTGATATCTCCTTAGAAGGTGGGTCAAGTGATGTGAAAAGGTAGTGCTTTTAGAGAGGCTGGGATTAGACTGGGTCAAGTCACTGACTGGCTGCATGATCTTTGCTCTGAACCTCTCTCAGCTTCCATGTCCTCTTATGCAAATGGCTGATAAATCCCCACCTGGAAGGATTATTTTGAAAACTAAATGAGATGTCTGTGAGGAGCTAGCATTTTATGGTAGGAATTAGTGCTGAGCAAATGCTGGATCCCCCCTCCCTTGTAGTGCTATAAAAATGGCATGCACAGTATCCAAGAGAAGTTAGAGCTGTCGCCAGCAGGACTGAGTGCCCTTGGAAGAGGAAGCGGGTAGGCAGTGCTTTCCAGTGGGCTATGCTAGAAATGCAGGTGATGGAATTTGGTGTGTGCAATGGAAACTGCCAAGTAGTTTTCCAGTTTGGAAAATAACTGGCTGTGTTGAAAGCTGACTCATTGGACAAAGTTGTTCTCCACCTCCCCTTTCCTAAGGAGGTACCTCTGATATTTATATCTTATCTCTAATATCCTGCATCTCTCTCTTCCCCCAGCAGAACATTATAGTATTACAAATACGCCTAAGGTGTAAAGGAAGTTTTAGTACCCAAGCTGAGGGCTGTGTCTTCTTCATCTCTTGTATCAGATGAATATAATGGCATTTCCTCCCTTGGGTCCCTGGAGATTTGACTGCTAGGAGGTTACCTGGGTTCTGGCATTAGGCTGGCCACTGACAATTAACCCTAATATAGTGCATTGCAATTTTTAAAGTTTTCAAAAGCACTTTCTTTGATCCCCAGGATGGCCTGACTGTAGTAGTTCTCATGGCTGCATGTTATAACCACCTGAGAGTTCAACACAAAGTAATAGAACAATGATAACTGTGTCTAGACTCAGACAAACTGCGTTTGGAATAGCATCTTGAGCATTGGTGATCTTGTTTAAAGCTGCTTAGGTGATTCCAATATATAGTCAGAGTCAAGAATCACTGCCTGTTGTGACACCAGACGTCCTATTTCTTTGATGAAGACAATGAGGCTCAGAGTAGTTAAGTTTTTTGTCCAAGGTTGTAAAGAAGGGAGGAAGAGAAGTCAGGTATTGTGAATCCTAATTTACCGACCTTTCTGCTACAGGACATTGCCTCTCTACTCATGAGGTGATCTACAAACTTTAATAAACCAAGAAAACTTATTTGAAATTTACAAAGTGCTCTATTAGGGCTATTTGTCAGTGGCCAGACTAACACTAGAACTCAAGTTACCCAATAGCAGTCAAATCTCCATGGTCCCAAGGAAGACCATTATATTCATGAAATGCCATTCTATTATTCTGATAAAGGAGAAGAAAGTAGCTTCTTATTCAAGAACCTGATAAAGTGGGATAGGAATGGACCTTCACTGACATTCTTTCCTAGAGGGACATTAGCATTTGGTAAGGAAGATATCTGTCATCTGGCCTCTTAATTAGCATAAATTGAGTTTTAACATTATTTCACTAAAAGATATACCCATTTCTGTAGGGCCTTGCTGATACCCTCTTAGTAGATACCAGGGTGTTGCTAATCAGATAACCTGAATAGGGCTGTAAAAGTTGCAAGATAAAGTAAGGAAAATTGGAGGATATGTATTTCAACTTTCACACCTGTGACATTTCCTCCATCGGGGTTTGTCCCCGACTCCAGGGGCAGTCTAATACTGCAGTGGGGATACTTTCACCATTAGGAACTCCTTTCTTTAGCTGAGCCTAAGTCCATTGCCTTGTCACTCCCAGAACTGATCCTGGTGTTGCCCACACAGAAAGCTAGTTCTGTTTGCCCAAGCCAGCCCTTAGGATCCTTCTGTAGCAGCTATCACAGGGGACCTATTTTTCAGTCCCCTTTCCAACCTGCTTGCCATTCCCTAGCCTGGATCTGTTTTAAAGGGGCTAAAAGCGACTTTCTCCTCTTTTCCCATTTTGCAAGCCTGACACTAATCCTGTCTGAATCAGTGATCTCTCATGCCCCAGGAAGACAGGCTGGCTTTCCCAAAAGTGCAGCTGCTGTAGCTGTAACCATTCTGGTTTCAGTTACTTTAGCATGACGAGAAGGTAGAAAACAGCTTCCCTGTTATTTCCTAGCCATCATGCATCATGACCTGTTAATAGTGAGATGGGTAGACCCAGCTCAGATCTCAGCTGTATCATTTCAGGATTTCTTAAGTCTGGGTTCCTCATCTGTAAGGCCCTACCTTAGAGGGCATTTTATCATGATAATGAAGCTATGAAGTGCTCTTAACAGTAAGGGCTCAATACAGCTTAACACATTGTAATGTGTGCTCTTACAGCCGTTTTGATCATTATGCCAATGACCAGCGAGTAAGGTAACAGATCAGTTTTCGCCATGTGTTAGCTGCTAAGGGTTTCTTCACTTAGAGGTGCCCTGGTGCTGGAGGTGACTGCTGATGGGTCCAGGGACTGGCGCTCCACACAAGTCTGCTGGATTCTTCCCTTCCCCCAGCTCCTTTCCACCGTGGTAGTCACTGCCTGAAATGCCACTGTTAGAGCTTCATTCATTTATTTTAGAACTCTGCCCCCTGTTAATATGCAAAATCCCTTGGGATAGAAAACACTTGAAGCTGTTCTTAATCATCCACATCTAAGTGTCAACAAATGTTTGATCCTTTACAGAAAGCCCATCTTGCTGAGTGAAATAAAAATTTTCAGGCAAGAATGATGGTCATATGGTCTGAGGACCAAGATATCTATTTGGAAGCCCAGTCTAGAACTGGTTTTGGCTGTGACACTGTGCACATCACAGATGCACCTGGATTCACTTGGGGGGATGTCTGTAAGACACTCCCTGTGAGCTGCCCAGGTCCCTAGAGGTAGTGTGACCAGCACAAGTCAAACCGTGCTCCTCATGCAATTAAACCGTGGCCCTTGAGAGCCAATGCCTTCTGTATTTTTTTCTTTTGGTTATTCTATTTGGATGATTAACTTACAATGATCTAGTTAATCTGAAATGGCTTGAGAGCTGTGTGCAAGTCTGGAATGGTGGTTACCATTATAAATGTACTGGACTTAGGCACAGCAAGAAGGAAATAACATAACACCTAGAGCTCCGGCTTCAGAAATGACACAAAAATGGAATGGACAAATATGAAAACTAGATAATGGATCCACAGTGATTTAATTCTTGGTGATATTTTCATATTATGCAAATACCAAAAGAAAAAAAACCTGGCTATTTGAAAGAAAAACAGGAACCAAAAAAATATTTAGTGTTTGATCAAGCAAAAATCCTTTCACACATCTGCCAAGAGAGTTAAAACAAATATAGATGTTAAATAAAAGGCCCAGGTACCAAAGAGCAAAATTTAATGAAAGCCAGAACTGTTAAATATGGATTCCTGTTGAGAAAAATGTCAATCTCTCTCAGTTTTCCCATTGCTCTATTTTTAAGAAAAGTGTAGTAAAAATACATAATACAAGTTAACTTTTTTCTTGCTTTAGTTTTCCCTGTCACCCCTCCATTGATGAAAAGCATCTTCCACTGGAGTCTTGGACCCCCAAATAACATAAACCCTCATTTCTAGCATAGATGGTCTCTCCCTATCAGATCGTGTTACTGGTGAGCTCAGTAGCTGGAGAGGCATCTCACCAGGCCAAAGGCAAAAGGTCTTTGAAACATGTTGATGGTAGAGGGTTATTTCTAACTCCTCTGAAATGCAGACTGCCTAATGGTGGTCATTAGGAGGATTCTGCACTGGTAGGCTAAGGGCTGAGAAAAGTCTGCAACAAGGGCAGCGGGTGGGGAGGAGATCAGCTGGCAGTAGTGAAAAGTGAAAATCCGTCTTGATGGTCCTATTTCACATACCATGCCCACACTGACATGTGAGAGGCTGAACAACAGTTGGGTTAAAAGAGCTAAGAGTTTGATTTGAGGATGGTTCTTTGCTATGGCTGATGAAAGGAGAATGGAAAAAAACAGAGATGGTGGGTGTCCACTGAGAGAATCCACAGATGAAGCCAATCATGCTGTACCTACTTGTAGGTAGGCTCCCAAACCTTTAGTTTGTCACTTGCTAATGATAACCCTAGCAGAGAAGACTGGATAGAAGTAGGGGGTGAGAGAATAAGCCAGAACATGGTTATCAATAAAAGCTAATGACACATGGCACATACTGGATCATGCACCTAGGAGAGTGGCTGCTGGACAGCTAGAAGCCAATTGCACCAAGAATGAGAGTTGGTATCTCCAAGAAAGCTATGTGCCAGGAACCCCCCACCCCCAACCAAAGTTGCAGTCACTTCTCTCCGTGAACCCTGTCACTTCTCCAATCTTGCTTTAGTTCAGCACTGTAGTTGCAATCATGGGTATATTAACTCTAGTCATTAGGACAAAATCTTCATTCTGTTTTAGCCAGGGAGAGGATCAGCCTCCTTGGGTTGCAAGTTGGGCTCAGGGATCTGAAGGTTCCTCAATGTCATTATCAACTTAATCTCCCTATCCTCCTTCAAATAAGTGAGCCTCCAGCATTTTACTTTGTAAAGACGACTGAACATTATCTGGCCATGTGCTAAAACAACACTTTTGTATGGACATAAAAACCCAAGTATTCCAGGTCAGCAAAACTGTAAGCTTCACATTTGGTCTCTCAGTCCTAGGACAGGGTACACCAAGGAAGGTTCTATTGCTCCGTGGGCTTTGCCGAAGCTTACTCTTCTAAAATTCTCCCATCACCTTTCTTTTGTACTTAGCTTGCATAGCATTTCCCCCCATTTCAGAGGCTCTGAAGAGAGTCTACTCCACAATGGGGTTCCTGCTCAGATGTCAAGCAAATGATGAGTGAGAATCATGGTCCCTGGCTGTCAGCTATTCCCAAGGCTCTACTTGGTTCAGGAGGCCAATAGTCCTTCAGCCACTGGAGTACCTTTGGGCTTGAGGGTAGTGAAAGGCCATAATTCCGAGGGCTGAGGGTGACTCTGTAAAGAAACATGCCATTCCACCTAAGGCCTAAAGGTTGGCTGTTACACATCAAGGAAGCTTTATCTGAGCCTCCAGCAATAACTTTACGTGTCCTCTGGATGCACACCTGCCTTTGCCCTCTCCACCACCCTCTGAGCTGCTTCTCATACATGCTCTTAACTAAATTAGTGCCTAGGCAGTGCCCTGTCCGGTGCAGGCAGTCCACTCCAACAAGTGTCCATCCTCATCCATGGCTTGGGGCAGAGGAGCAGAGGGTGACTTGGAGAGCTCCTGTGGCGGATTAGGTCGAAGGTTACCTTTTCCCTGTTGCTTGCTTGTAGGTGGAACAAATCTTGAATCTCCAATCTGAAAACTAAAGAGGGATGGGTAGGAAGTTGGGGATAAGGAGTAAGTAAGGAAAAGGAAGGGGCCTAACAGAACTTGCAAACCATGGATATTAGTAAGAAAAAAATATTGCACACACTAAGACATGTTAACCGAATTGAAAGAAAACAGTACAGTTTTCTCGTTAGTGTTCTAGTGACTCCATTTTCAGAGACACAGGTTCTATTAGACAGGGTTATTTCCCCTTATTGCAGTACAGTGTTATTTGTCATCCTCACTTAGCAAACAGAGAAAGGTGAAAGAGCATCAGGAAGGGAAAAGGGGCAGCAAAGTAGTTTCTTGATTCTCTCAGAAAATCTGTTGAATCCTCCTCCTCGTGGTCATGGTGGTTGGTGGCGGCTGCGTTTCAATGTTGTTGTTTTTGGCACTGAAGGGTTTGGGATGGAACTGGGGAGCCTGAACATGCTCCCCAAGGGGGCTCCGTCTGCTGCAGTTATAATCCTGTGGCTCCCAAGGGCATCCCTGAACTGTGGCTCATGCAGGGAATCGATTGCATGGACTTGGAGAAGTCATGGCTGACCACCCGGCCGTTCTCTCCACTACCGCCACCACTGGCTCCTGCCCCACTGTTTCGGGGGAGTGTCGATGTCCGTATGGCTTCGTTGATGGATTGCTGTGGGATCAAACAGAAACCCTTTTCAGGAGGACCAGGGGGTTCTTCCCCGGGTCCTTGGCAATGATTGGCAAGGAGAATGAGTCAATGCTGGACTTGAAATGTTACCCCAACCCTCCTCCCTATCTAACTCCTTTCCTTCTGTTTAGTGCTAATCTGGACTTCCCTTGAACTCACAGAATGGTTGCACAGCTTTGGACAAGTCTGATCCCTTCTTTGGGCCTCATGTTCTCTCTGTTTGGTGAGGTGTGCTGGATAGAAAGGATCTCTAAGATCCTTTCTGGTTCTTATATTCTGTGATTTCTAAAGGTGGACTACTTCCATGTTAGTATTGATAATAAATGTAGCAACATTACCAAGTGAAAAAGCTCTGAAATGGAGTTTAGGAAAGTCAGATTTTAGTTTTGGTTCTGATCACAATTAGTTATATGACCATATACGTATCTCCTTATCTTTCTAGACCTTTTAAATCTCCATGTTTGTAAAATGTGATTGTCTATGCACCCACAGACTTTCATTGGCAAGAATGGTGCTACTGCATGAAAAATGACTTGAAATGTTAAAAAAAAAATTGAAGGTGTGTTACTGTTGGCTAAAATTTAAAACTACCTCCAATTTACTTTGTGAAAAATGCGATCTGACCTCTAGCAGCATGTGTTGAGGGAATATAGGACTTATTTGAATAATACAATAGGCAAAATGTAATGTGCTAAAGAAAATCAGAATGGATCCCAAAGATCATTATCTGCATGTCAGCTGCTTCCCATCAGCACATACAACCTGCACTTCTAGATGGGCACATCAGATCAGTGGTACCAAGCTTGTGATTTCTAGATGTGAAAAGTATGCTAATGATCATCCCAAGACCAGATGAGTTAGATGGAGTATTCAGGATCACAGTCTGGAATTAGAATCATATCCTGAGTTCTATTTTGAGTTCCTTTGGAGAAAGAAAGCTCATGACATGGAATCCAAACTCTTTATCTCTTTCTGCCACTTCTGATTTCCTTTCAGAGATACTCATAGAACTTCTGTTTTCTTCATAGGAATTAACATAAAGGAGAAAAATTGTCAGTGAGTTGAGAGGTTTCTTTCTCTAAGACCAACCCTGTCTTTCAAGGCTCCTTTCTGCTGTCATTTCTTTTCTGAAGCCATCCTAGACTTCAGAGCAAGTACTGGCGCCCTTTAGCACACATTTCTGTAATGGTTCTGCTTCAGGTATCTAGGTTTTGTTTTTAAGAGAGCTAACTCTGTGGAGGAGGTGAGGGCCATGTCTTTTCAATCCTTAGCTGTCTCCCAGAGTGTCCAGCATATAATTAAATGCTTAATAAATGTTCTTGAATTTGTCTAAGAAAAGCCAACCACCTCAGTTCCTCTTAAAAAATCCATGGCTTTCTTTGCAAGCTGCTATAATTCTAGTGATCAGAGAAGTCAGTTTACCTACTGTGGTCAATCAGACATAAACAGAGCAGTTATCACCCAATTTTTATCCTTTTTGCTATACTATTCTGGGAATATCCTCATTGCTGGCAATTCTGACAATATTTTAAATGTTCTTTCTTTTTAAAATCCATGATTCTGACAGATTTTCTCCATATGATGCTCCACCCACACTGGTTCTGTCTCTTCCTTGAACCCCAGGGCTTGATTTATTTACATTCTGACTTGGTTGTCCTCCACTGAAGAGGATGTGTGACCTGGATTGCATTCTTCTAAGTCAAGGCCAAATATATGCCACTGTGAAGCTCTAGGGGGGAAATGTGGAAAGAAAACATGAGGAATTAACAGTTACTTATTCTCACTTAGAAATGTTGAAAAGAAAACAACTTATTTGTATGTGGGAGAAATATGGAACCATCTATGGATTAGCTTGGAATGTGTATCTTCTGTCATTTTTCCCTGCCACATCCCTTTAACAGTAATAAAAAAAGTTTAAAGTTCACGCAAATCAACACTGGGCTTTGTTCCTCACATATTCTTGTGATATGCCATTGAAGTTGGTGGTACTTGATGAATTTATTTTGAAGGAGAAGATTGGTGGCATAGTCAGTATTTTGGTACCTACTGAAGTCTGAGGTGACTTAGCTGGGAATGTAGTCAAAATGCTCCCAAGTTCACATCATTAAGAATTGGTTCCCAAGGAAGCTGAAGGCTTCTCGGGTCAGTGACTCCACACTCCTATCAACACTGGGTACTGCCTGCTTACTGGCTTCCTTTCTAATACATTTATAGACTCTCAGGAGACAAGATAAATAGAGTCAAAGCTTTGGAGTGGAAAGCAATGCTAAAAATGACTATATCACTAGTTCTCAACCTTGGCTGCACATTGGAATGATCTGGAGAGTTTTGGGAAGAAAACACTGGTCCCTGAAACCTACCCGCAAAGATGTTGACTTAATAGGTATGGTTTGTACCCTGGACATCTGGAATTTTAAAAATTCCCTGGATGATTCTAATACACAAGCAAGGTTGAAATGCACTAATCTAGTTGATTTCATTCACTTTACAGAGAAACTGACAATTGTGACCGATTTGCTTAAGGTTAGTTATCTATGACCTCGTTTCAAAGTGGATGACCTTCTAATTGTGGTTCCTCCTACCCCCCTGTAGCTAAACTGTCATAAGCTGATGTCACTCCCCCCTTGGCTCTGGGGAGTGTGGTTCTCTTGTCCATCCTTGACATACCAGCCATTCTTAAAATTCATCTTTACAGTTGTCTTTGAAATTGATACTCAGGGTGAAAAGGGTGAACAAAAAGTCCAACCTCAAAGTCCCCTAAGTTAGCTCTTTGGAGACTCATGTCTCTAATGGTTAGCACATCCTAACTTCTCCGCCACTTGCTTGTCTAAAAAAAAAGTCTGCTCAGCCTCTGCATGTCAGAACATCCTAATAAAAGCTCAGACCTCAGTAGTAAGCTCATCCTCGCATATGCGCTCAGAGTTAGAGTAACTGCCCGCTGCAGAGGATGCACCCCCTGCATTAGCATGTCTCTTAGCTGCTCATTAAGTCCAGGGAAATGTGCAAAGCCTCAGTCGTTGTGGATTAAACATGGCCCATGTCAGCACAGCCACATTCAGTTTAAAAGGCCAGCAGCTCTCCTGGGGGTGTGAGTGGCTGGCGATTATTTTCACTTGGGAGCAAGGAGGTGAATAGTAAAGATGCTGGTTGTCCTTTATGTCAATGAAGGACTTGGGTTCTGGTTCATTTTCCCAGGCAGAGGGGAGGCACAGAAAATCTGAGACTTTATTCAATTTGGAGTTTGTCTTAGGTTTTATGTTTTTGCTACTATATGACAATTTAGATTATACTTAGATGTGGTTGCCTGGAGTCCCTCTCTGTGCCCTCAGCTACCACATGTTCTCCTCTCCCTCAGTCTTCCTGTGACCTGGTCTCCCTGACATCCTTCCTATTTCTGGGCAAGAGTTCTGGTCTTTGGGTCTCTGACACTTGTACTTTCTTTGCTGATAACTCTGTCCCCTGGTTAATTCCTTTCATGCCTTAAGTCTGGGAAACACCACTTTCTCAGGCAGGCCTCTCTGACCTGGTCCTCTCCCATTCCCTGATCAGGACTTGACTGCACTGGGCATTTTTCTTCATTCATTGTACAGGTAAATACTTGCTTATTTTCTGCCTTCCCATCCAAATCTCAGCTTCCTGAGGACAGAAGCTGTGTCTGTTATGCTCCTGACTATATTCCCCAGTGCCAAGCTATGCCTGGCATACAGTGGTGCTCAGCATGTCTTTCTGGAAGGAATGCCCGCAGGGTGCCTTTCTGCTGTCTCTGTGACACTGGTGTCTCCTGTTCATGTGACATGTCAAAAGGGAGACTCAACAATACACAAAGGATTACATGCCATTGGTGGCCTTAACAACTGTATCAGGAAACCTAAGGATAAGGGCTGCATCCTATTTGTTTATACACTGTGGCTGGAGCTTGAGGGGACACATTGTAGGTACTCAAAATTATCTGTTGCCATGTGGTTAGGGCAGGAGACAGAAATTTAGAAGTGGCTTGGCTAGTCCCAAGAATCCAGGCTTCGCAGAGGCCAGGTTGGAGGTCTACTTCCTGTTTCTCTAGCTTCAAGCTTGTGTGACTTCACTGGGACAAGCTAGCAAAGTTCAGACAAGCTTCTCTGAACACCCATTTCTTCATTTGTGAAACTGCAGATACATGCATTACAGGTTTAATGAAAATGTATATTAAGCACTTTGAATATGGAAGTTACTAAAAAGATGACTTTCCTTCTTCCTTTCTTCTCTCTTTCCTTTCCTTCCCTTTCCTTTTTCTGTCCCTTCTTCTCACCTCCTCCTCTCTTCTATGCAGAGTGGAGAAGGGCTCCTTAAATGCTGTTGAAAAACCAGAGGTTGGCCCTGAATTAGGTTTAGGGGTTCAGGCCTTAAGAGTTGGCCACATACCATGATCAAGAAAGGAAACAAGAGGGAAGATTCTCACCAAAGACCCTTGACACTGTCAACGAGGGCCTCTGTGTGAGGCTGGAGGCCGCGCTTCTGAAGGGAGCTAAGTGCCTTTGAGGAAGGCAAGGTAAAGGAGAATAACAAAAACAGCAAAGCTGGGACATTGGAGAGGCTAGTAGAATGTATTTCACTTACCTCCTTTGGGTAAGAAAGGAGTTGATGGAATTTTAAAAATTAAGGGCTGGGTTGATTAATAAAAGTAAAGTAGAAATATCCTTTCTGCAGTTGGAAAATGAAAAGTTTTATTAGGGATCTTGGTGAGTTGGGCCAAAGTCATGCCAACCAATGGCATTAATTATAAAACGTTGTGGTGAAAGACCTTGGATTAATGATTCTAAGGGATCCTCATGTTGGTTTCTGAAAAATTCCACATCTTCTTTCTAAAGGGAGGGGTGAGAAGGTCTCTGAGTAGTTATGGACTAACTCAGTGGCCTCTTCTAAGGGAATCTTAATCTGAATGTTTTGACTTCAGTGGTAAAGGTCAGCACTGTCCAGTTTAAAGAGGATCCCAGTCTTCAGACACTCTGGTACCACTGCCTTAAGCATGATTAGTGGAACATGGTGATCCCATAGGAAGGGCTGGGAGTCCCAGAGTTTTCCTGCTTGGTGGATGCCTTGTCTCATCAGATTTTCTGAGCACATACAAATGGGGCCAAAGCCACCTTGGAGGATGATGTTTGTCATTTCAGGCTGGGTGGTTTTGATGGTTATATTTGCTTAACCTAAAAGCAGTGACATGCTGTGCCACATCTCACCCTCCAAGAGAGATAATCTCCTCTGGATGTAATTCCACATTAATCTTACTAAAACTTACCCTGTGTGTACTGGGTGTCTGAAGAGAAATCAGACACAGCTTCTCACCTTAATGAACTCACAATCTAGCTCAAAAAACCTAGGATATTTAAGTAGGGGCAATACAAGGAAAGTCTTAAGGAAGCTCCAGCTGACCACAAATAATAGTAAGTTATACATTCTAATTAACATTGTTATTATTTATAGAGGGCTTACTATGATCTAGGTATTTTGCCCAATCCTTTATTTCCATTTTTTATTATAATCCTCACCTTAATATTATGAGGTATATGCTACCACTAGTCCTGTTTTCTAGAAAACAAGGATCAGAGAGCTACTGAAGCTTGTCCAAGATGACACAGTCAACAAATGGAGCAGGTGGGATTTAAGCTCAGACATTCAGCTCCAGAGGCTGTGCTCCAGACCACTACACTGCACTTTGTCCTAGAGGAGCAGAGTGAAGGGGCTCCTATGGTGTGTGCTGGGCCAATCCTGGTCCCCGGTTTGAGCCATGGACCATGGGGAATGTTTAGGGGGTTGTAAAGGCTTTAGCTCACCTAGGTCTTCTCCTGATCCCCTCTTTGCCTTTGGAGTGGCCTTTCCTCAATTTAGAAGGCAAGATGGGAGAGAGTCATTAGGCTTATGTTTTGGATGGAATAGGCAAAGAAAGCTTTGTTTAGGTTCTAAGAGACCCCGTTGTGCCTAGCCAGGCTCCGTGGAAGTCCCCAGTGGGTTTAAGGTCTGATGATTCTGCTGTGCTTTGTCCTATCTGAGAGGACTCAGTATGTGAGGAGCTGGTCAAGGGTAGGACTGAGGTGTTCTTAAGTCCCCTGGCCACATACCATCATACTATCATCACTTAGTTGTTCCTCGGTATTCTGTCTTAGGAAAGTTGCCATTTAAAAGGGCCCTAGGGGACAGAAGGCAAGGAGACGGATCGGCCTGCATAAAGGCACATGGATAGGAAGCATGAGGTGGGTGGCTGGAGTGTGTGGAGTATGTAAGAAGAGCAGATTGCCTGGGAGGAGAAAGTAGGTTGGAGCCGTGATGTGGGAATGCTGAATGCCAGGACAGAAGGCCCTCCTCCCCCATCTCCCACCCCCTGTGTACAGGACTGAATACAGGTTCCAAACAGGGGAAGCAAATGTCCTGCAGTGTCTTCTCCAAGAGTGACCCTAGAAGTATGTGTAGGGATGACGGTCCAAGGCAGGAGGCTATGGTCATGCTCCAACAGTGGGTGTGCTGAACTTGCGAGCAATTGCACATCGAAAAATGGGCTTCTTGGGGCGTATGCTAGGAGAACAAATGCTACCAGTGAATTCTCTTAGTCTGCTTGGGCCAAGGTAACAGCCTAGGGAACATTGCTCAGAGTGACTGCACGTCTCTTTACTTCTGTTGGTTTGAATCCCACTTGCCCTTCCTCTTAATTTCTGCCTCTTCCTGGAAGCCTTCTCTAATTTCTCCCTGAATATTCCTATAGGCCTCCCTGTCTATGCCATAGGTCGCTTCACTGAGTAATTTTTCTATGTCATTTGTTGAAAGTGCTGAAGATTGCACCTCAGTCCTCTCTGCCTCCTCATGATGTCTTGCTCACATGATGAATTCTTGCACAAATATTTTCTTATTGGAGTTAAATGATGAAATGTGAGGAGCCTGGAAAGTCATTTAATCCAAAATCCCTATGGATACTTGAATCTATAACCTTGCCAAGAGTTATTCAACTTTTATTCAACTTGTTGGGACAGGCTGTCCTACTTTTGCATAGCTCTGAAAGAAAAGTAGATCTCACTTACTGTGTTACCCATCTGTTCTCCACAGTTCCTGGTCATCAGTTCTTGGACACTTGGGGACCCCTCAGAACTAGTCTATCTTTCCTACCTGAAAGTCTCCATGATTTTACGGATAGCTCTCATATCTCCGTAATTCTCTTTTCCAGTTGCCTTCAGTTATATTTGACATGGTTTGGGGTTATCTAATCTGTTCACCCTTCTCCGTGCATGATCCTCTTTGACAAAGTCCATCTTATACAATATGGTGGCTAAGAAAAGACCCAGTTCACACCAAGTGTGGCAAAATTACCCATCTTGCAGAGAGTAGACATACCCTCCCCTATTTACAGGGTTACACTTCTGTCAATGCAACCTCAGAGGGAACCTGCTTTTGCAGACATCATTCGTACCTCACACTGTGTTGACTGTTTCCTTAAACCCCTAACTTTTGACCCCGCCACCTGCCCCTGGCTGATGCAGTTGTTTCCCCCAGTCTTATGTTTACCCTGACACATCTTGTCTTTCCTCCTTTCTCACTGCCACTTCTTTCCCTGTCACCTTCCTCACAGCAGTCTCTTCCTCTCTCCTCACTCAGCATGACCTCAACCTCCCATCACTCCCCACCCTTTCTAGGAAAGGGATTCCCAGGAAACCCAGCTGTATCACAGAACAGGGGAGGAACAAGGCCTGGGAAGACGATGCCACCTTCATCCGCTTGGATTCACTACGGGATTTGTAGCAGAACTCGATTAAGGCAACCAGCATGGCTAGTCCAAGTCCTCCAATCAGGATGTAGAACACGCCCGCCACATTGCTGAGGCTCAGAGCGCTTGTCTTGTCCTAGGAAGAGGAGGGGCAGGAGGGGGAGGGGGGAAAGGACAGTGAGCCAAGGGGCTGGAGATCACCCAAGTCACAGCATTTGTACACACATACACTCAACCCCATCTCCCTCTTTAACATTCATAGTTGTCAGAAAGGATTTTTATTCATTGGCAGAGTGTTAAACATTCCTTAGGAAAAAGTGTTTGTGCAGTTTTTGTATGTGTGTGTGTGTAACAATTTTCTGAGCATCCCTGATTATGACTAATTTATAATGACATTTCCCTTCTCCCCAGTGCCTGATCTAGGGTGGGAGATGCCACAGGAAATTCAGGGCTGCTCCTACTAAGATCTGCACCCATGAGCTTACCCGGTTCTTTCAGAAAATCTTGTCCCTGCCTTTTCAGCTCAGTTCCTGCCCCCACCCTCTCTGTTGCTCAGCAACACATTGGTCTCACTTACTGTTTATGTCTCTGAGTGTTTTTCTGAGAGTTGGCACTTAAAATGAACTTTTGCCTAGATGTGCATTTGATTTCAATTTAATAAGACAGTTATTGTACATATAATAAAGAACAACAAATGTATATCTTTAACATACTGCTCTGAGTCCCAATGTAGGGAAAAAGAAAACTGGGGTGCTTGGAATAGTAAAAAGACACTGAGTTAAAGAATGGCTCTATTAAATCCTAATAATTATGCTTAACTGGTGTCATTTTTCTGTTGGAGGTATTTGCTAAAAAAGCACTGTAGGTAGACTCAGATGGCTGAACTTAGGAATCTCTGTTGCCTGTTGGACACTTAAAATGAACTTTTGCCTAGATGTGCATTTGATTTCAATTTAATAAGACAGTTATTGTACATATAATAAAGAACAACAAATGTATATCTTTAACATACTGCTCTGAGTCCCAATGTAGGGAAAAAGAAAACTGGGGTGCTTGGAATAGTAAAAAGACACTGAGTTAAAGAATGGCTCTATTAAATCCTAATAATTATGCTTAACTGGTGTCATTTTTCTGTTGGAGGTATTTGCTAAAAAAGCACTGTAGGTAGACTCAGATGGCTGAACTTAGGAATCTCTGTTGCCTGTTGGAAAAGATCTTACACAGATTTTGGATAAGCAGGATCATGGAGCGGCTTGCATAATGTTTAGGGGCCTCAGGACAAGTGCCCATGTCTAACTGGAGGTGGACAGGGTTTACTTTGTGAAGACAGAGAAAGGCTGTCAGTATAGCAAGAGCATCCTTGAGTTCTGGGGTCTCTAGTGGGGTTGACAATTGGGGGGCTGAGGGACAGTGTCTTCCCAAGTGTGAGAAAAACCAGTCAGAACTGCTGGTCATCTTGGAAGTGATGACTCAGGGACAGGGGAAGCCTGCTCAATCAAATTCTTGACGTAGGCAGGAGAACTTCTTTTAATCTCAGAAGAATACTCATCCTAAATGTCATGGTGCCTCTACCACCTTTGTTCATATTGTTTGCTCAGGCACAACAAGTTTCTCATTGAATTAAAATGAAATGCACGACTCATCTGGTACAGGCACACCATGGTTGGATGGTTGGTGGCCCTGGGTATGAAACAGTTTTACATCTCTGTGTTGTTCTTTCAGGTGGGAATGTCGGGGAGTCTCACAAAGGGTGAACTGTCTTGCCCTAAGGATTCCTTTAACATATGCCTGTTAGCGGCTGGGTATGTGGAAGGCGGTCTGTTATTGACCAAATCAGAGGCCTCTGCCCTAGTTCTGCGTGGTGCATTGTACAGGAGTCAGCAGGGCTGAGCTTGGGGACTGCAGCTGGCAAATAGCATGCCATTCCTCCCCAGAGAAGCTTGGCCAGCAGAGCTGTAGGCTTATCTAAAGCACACCCCCTCTGGAGGCTTCCTGTACTGCTAAAGCAGATGGCTCTTGAGTATGGGTTGCACTTGGCAGGCATATTCTGGCTTTGGAAGTGGTGGAAATGATTATTTGAAGGGTAGAATTTCTCCTGCTTTGGTGTAATAGCCTGATAAAGGGTATGTGCAAAAATGAGTTTGGTGCTTTGTTCAAGAGTTGGCTGAGCAACTAAATTCTTACTTGGCAGGATTTTTCAGAATTCTCAAAATGTCTCCCTGTTTTGTTATTCATGGGTTCTGTAATTCTGTTACTGGAGAGAAATTCTTTAGTCTTTAGGGGGACTAATGGGCAATAGAAGTTCCTATAAAGCTCTTCTGTGTGGACAGGGCTAGGACTGTGGAGGAAAGCATGATAATATATTACATCAGCTTCCAACTTAGATACGAGTGGCTGACAGTGATGCTCAGAGGGAGTGAATGGGGAACAGGCCCAGTGGGAGGCGGTAGACAAGAAGGCTGGGAGGAGCAGACCGCAGCTGCCGACTTCACACGGTGATGAGCCTTTCCATAGCTGAAGTGTACCTGGCTTCTGTGGCCACCCAGGCTGTTTGTTTCTTTCCTCACGGTCTTTCCAAGTTCACTTGACTGTGGATTGTCTTCAAGGATTTGGGAGTGGTGGGCATCTTTCTTGTTACTGTCTTCAAAACCCCTGTGAAGGCATCTGCCTCTCTGGCCACAGAAGATGGAATGTTTACTTCTGGTGTGTCCGGGAAGGAAGTAGGGTCAGCTCTTCATATGGAAGCGGGGGCAGGGGCCATATTCTATATAACTGCAGGAGGAGGCAGGTCCAGTGACTGAGCATTTGATTATATCTACAGATGGAGTGCATCCCTCACTTCTGAAGCAGCTCTCTGCCCACAGAGATGGCATTGTATGTGTGTGTGGGGGACGCATCTTGTACAAACAAGGGCCACCAGATGGCATGGGCCCTGTCACCTCCTGCAGGACAGACGGTGCCACTGGTCTGTCTGTATGCCAATAGAAATCTGTAGTAGGGATCCAGGAAGACCTCTGGAATCAAGGGGGTACCTAGGCCTATCACCACCAATAACAGAAAGCAAGCTTAGATGTAGCAGCACTGCCTAAACTTGGCATAATTTGATAGGGTGTAGAATGAAGGGCTGGTCTTGCTGTTTTCTTAGCCCACGCAGTTGAGAAGTTTACATTTAGGCCAGGTTTTATGATTTCCATATGTATGCCATTGGTTTTTTGATAATAACAAGTTAAATATTTTCAAAGGCCCAAGGCCACAGTCTTCTGTTTCGTTGCTGTCACTGACTCTCTTGGACTTGTTCAGTTCGACTATGATGGGATGTCCTGAGGCAGGGGCAAAAACCCCTTTTATTTAGAGATCAGAGCTCTGATCCCTCCTTTGGCCCATAGCATCCGTGTAAAAGGGGATCTCCTTGTGGACTTATTTGCAAACATGTTCAGGTTTCAGAGGGAAGCTACAGATGTCCCCGCTATGGCCAGGGAGGGGTCAAAGTCAGACTTTGAGTCTTCTCAGTACCTCTGGGGATCCTCTTCTCCTCCTATCCCATAGCAGCTGCACTCCCAAAAGCCAGGCAGCTTGTTGGTGGGAGAGAAAAAGTCACAACATGTCTTCCTCCAGGAGGGAAGGAAGAGAGTGACAGTACTGAGAAGAGTGACAGGTGAAAAGAAAAACAAAATCCCATCTTTCAGAATTGTTGGGTTTGTTGTTATGGTGACGAGCACCCCCACCCCCCACTTCATCTGTTTTGCCGCCTTGATTTGCTGCCTCTCTCATGTGGAAGGGAGATTTTATTCTTTTTCTTATTTTTCCTTGCTCTTCCCACATAATGGAGCACTGTCCCAGACACCCTCTGCTCCCAGACACCCTCTGTGTTTCTGAGCCATTATCCCTTGCAGGAATGTGGGGCTGGCTTGAGTCTTCACAAGGAGGTTTGAACCAGGCCTGAGGCAGAGTGACTTGAAGCTTTTTAAAAATGGCATAAATAGAAAGTTCTAGGGAGAAGCCAAGGCCTTTGGTCGTAAGACCAGTCCCTTCCATGAAGACTGGTGCTGCCCATCAGCCAAGGCCTCTAAATCTGGACAGAAGTTGAGGCTTCTCCATAGGCCTCCATTCCTTATCTTCCTGATGAGAGTGGGAACTCCAGCGAAGCAGAGGCTGCAGCTTCGGCTCTTCTCCACATTCCGCAGGAATTTCACACATTTCCTCAAGTGTGCACAGGCACACATGAGGTTTTAGGGGCTTTATTCTGGGGAGGTTACTTCCACATGCTGAGTCTGTAACCTGACTTTGCCTTTCAGGGCTAGGAGAAAGTCCAACCCCTCTTCCACTTAGCAACTTTTGCAGTACGGCAGACTTTCTCTTAATGCTTTTCCTAAACTTGTGTTTTTGGCCTATGAGCCATTTTCCTGAGTGTATGATTATTCCCTGGGAGTGGAAACCGAGTGACTGGTGAGACCCACTCAGGTGGACCAAAGTGGGGATGTAGATTTGATTCAACTAAAGAAGACCTTTCAAATCAATAGAATTGACCAAAGGTGGGATGCCCTGCCATGGACAGTGGTGAGTTCCTCCAACATGGATGTATTCAGGAAGAAGCTGATGGTCATCTAGGGGAATCAGACACTGGACAGGAGACAAGGTGACCTTTGACACTTGTCCCAACCCCAAGAGAGTCATCATCTAAGGAGTCCCTAGATGGCCCGGGGTCATGCCTTTTATAAATTCTCCCTAGAGACTAATCTCTGTAGGGGATGCAAAAAAGAAGCTCATGTTAATAGGCAAATTCTGTTGTTCCATTTCTAATCTAGGCCAGTTCCCTAGCCAGCATATTTTCCCCAAGAGCAATACAGGATGAGAATTGGCCCATTGTACTAATACTTGGCAAGGCAAATGTTTCGAAAGCGGGGGTTGTGGGGGTGGCTCCTCTCAGCAGTGTGTGCTCAGGGACTGGCTGCTGTACAGTGCGCTGCAGAACACCCTGCCTCAAAACAAAACTGCCACCGAGAGCTCAAGGAGACAGTGTGGGCTGTGGAGGGGAGCCCGAGGGCGGGCTGAGGCTGAGTCTTCTTGAGTGGGAAGAATTCTCTGAAACAGAGACACCAGTCTGAGGGAAAAGTGGGATCATCCCCACAGGGGCCCTTCACTATGAGTTGATCTGTGCATTGGACTAAGCAGGGGTCCTGTGTGTCTAAGGAAAATTGAACCTGCTTTCTCTGAAAGTGCTTTACGCTCATGGTGCAGAGAAAGAGTTTTAAAGGAAAAATCTTTATTTCTGTCTAGTCCCTTTTTCTTGGGCAGTGATGGGAGATTT